TTCATTTCACTCTAATATATTTCCATCATTGATGAATTTCACTTCTTCGTTTCTTCTTTTTTCATCTATTAAAAATTTCAATTTGAAAATATCAATGAACTTAAAGTTAACAATTATTATATGATATAATATATAAATTATAATAATTATTATTTGATCCATCCTATTTCAACAATTTATCATTTTATATATTTTACATGCTGAAAAGTTTTTCGATTATTTCATATTTTGTAATTAATTAAGATATATCAATATAATATATAAATTATAATAATTAATATTTCATCCATCCTATTTCAACAATTTACCACTTATATATTTTACATGCTAAAAAATTTTTCGATTATTTCATATTTTGAAATTACTTAAATTTAAATTTCTTCTAAATCTCAAATTTAATTATTCCATTATTTTTGCCTCTTTTAATAATTACAATCAATATTTGCCTATATTTCATTACCTATCATTTACTCTTAAAACTTCTTATATTTAAATTTTAATTTATTTTTAAAATAATACCAATATTTCATTGATTATTTATTTCCGACTATCCCAAACGCATTATCTATTTGAGTGTCTTCTCAAAAGCAAATTCTAATTTTTTCCCTTTTTTTTGATTAAATTTCCTACAGCTCTTCCTATCTTATTTTAGGTTAGTATAAAGTTACAATTGCTTATCATTACTATGCTTTAAATTAAATAGCTTAAATAAGTCGGCGGTTTAAAAAAATTTATAAATTAACAAAGAAAAAGAACTAAATTAAACTTTCCAGTAATAACATTTCCGTAATTAAAGTTTAAAATTTGAATCTGAATAGAAAAAGCTACAGGTTAATTTAGGCATTGAATTATTTGAATTCTTAATTCTTAAGAATATTCTTATCGAGATGTAATATTCAGACTATCTAATTCATTAGATGTTATGCATAGTAATTATGGTTATTAATTATAGTCATTTCTTATGATCATAATTATGGTCATTTCTTCCTCTAAAAGTATAAAACAACAATGGATAATGATGTCCAGCACAACAAAATGGACATTATTTACAGAATGGTTTGAAAAAAGCATTACTCCTAATTTCTACCATAATATGACATTTTGTTTTTCATGATATGAGAAATGTTTGAAATAAGCGATCCCTAAAATGAAGTATAAAAGGATAAAAGAAAGAAAGCAAATGAAGTTAAATATAAATAAATCAAAATATTCAATTGGTTGGCTTTTCCTGAAACTTTTCTTGGAATGGATAAATTAAAATTTTAAAATGTCTCATTTATTTGCATTATTTTTTTTTCCCCTCCAATTTCAATGATCTCAAATTTGTTTTACCAAGCAATATCATAGTAAAAGAAAATGAACTGTTAAGAAATTTGGCTATGAAAATAGTTGACAGGAAAAAAATTATCGAAGACTTCATTTAGCTGAAATCTTCTTTCCTTTTTGCCTATATTTTATTGAATTGGAAAAGCATAAAATATTGGAACATAAAAAACGAAATCAATAGCTGACGACGAAGCTTATTTAAAATTTCATTTATATATTTTTTTTGCTTCACAAAACTTCCTTCAAATCCTATTTATTATCTTTGCAAAAAAAAAAGAAAAAGAATTACCTATGAATTTCAGGTAGAAAAACCTGAAATGAATTAATTATGAAATTTCTACATTATTTCTGTCGTAAATTAAAATTTATAATTTACATCCATTCTTTTTATTACTTATAAATTTTATTAAAATTTAAAAAATACCTACATACAGGTAACTCATTTATTAGGAATCAGTTATTTGCAAAATATTTAACATGCGCTAGTCACAAGATCTTTTCAATCATTAAACATCACAACATTTTTTTCTCATTAAAATTCATAAACAGTTAATAAATTATTCTGTTTTTACCTATTATAAATGTTACAGCACAAAAGTGATATTAAATTGTGCAGGAAAAATTTTTTAGTATTATTATAAATTATAAGAAAAGAAAATATTTATTAGCATAAATTTATAAAATATTAAAAAATTAATTTAAATTTTTTGATAAATAATAATCAAAATTAAATTCTAAAGATAAAAAAAATAATTAAACAATTAATTAATTAATTAAACAATAAATTAAATTAAATATTTAAATGTAATAGCAAAAAAGCAATATTAAATTGTACAGGAAAAATTTTTTAGTATCATTATAAATTATAAGAAAAGGAAATAATTATTAGCATAAATTTATCAAATATTAAAAAATTAATGTAAATTTTTTGATAAATAATAAATAAAATTAAATTCTAAAGGTAAAAAAAAAATTTCATTAAACAATAAATTAAATTAAATGCTTAAAACAAAGAAGTACCATTGGTATTGTTTTAAGAAAGAGGAAAATTAATTCAAGTTTTTTGTTTTGATAAATAATAAGCGAAATAAAGGAAACACTACTACCAAATTAAATAAATTTAAGAGATAGAAATTTGAAGAGAAAGAAGTTTAGCATTTTTAGGAAAGAGAGAAAGAAGAAAAACTTATGAAAAATGAAGGATAAAATAATTTGCTAAAACAATTTCCAATAGAATTGAAATATACTTCCAATTTTTTTATGCTTTTAAATTTCGAATTTTTTTATTTAAAACTTTCAGACATTCTTTTTTGCAAGGAATACTGTAATATTTATTTTCTCTTGCAAAAATTTCGAACTAAAATTAATTAAAGGAAAAAAAAAGTAATTATTTAAAATTAACAAAAATAGACAATACTATCTACGGCACAATCTCATATGAAAAGTTATCGCTAATATCGAATTTACGATAAATAAAATTCGACGAACAATAAATGAAATTAAATCATAAAATTAGGAAATAACTGTCAACATTAATTTACGGAAAAAAAAAAGTGATAATGATAATTCGACAGATTAAATGTCTCTCTGTTTGCTTTTACAAACATATTCTCATCAATAGTTCAATGATACCCGACAATTTGTGAAAAATGACCTCGAAGTTGTATATCTATTTGATTGAGCTCCATTTTCTATTCCTTCTCTTTTCATCAACATTCTTTTTATCATAGCTATTTCGTATTTCATTAAGTATCGCATGAATTTGATGCTGACAGTTATTTCCTTATAGATGATTAATTATTAATTATAAAATGTTATCACCATTCTATTTCTCTTAGTATATTATTATACTTCTCTTCAAATATACCTATGATATTATGTTAACACATCAAATTGTAAATAAACTCATTCATGCGTATCAAAACACGCAATTATCTCAGTAAGCTAAATCAACCTTAATTATTACTAACTAATATTAGTTTGAATTTGATATAAATTAAAATTTCGTTTAAAATTGTTCCTAAATAGCCTCATTCATATTTCTAAATTCGATTTGATCCATATCCATTTCAAAACTAATCTTCTCTTTACTTTTTTTATTTTACTATTAAGATATAATTAAAAACACCATAAGAAGTAAATATGATAGCTAGATGTAAGTAGCTGGAAAGAATAATTGAATTCTTATCTTATTTCATTTACCTACCTATAAAAGAATAATTGATTTGTCATCTTATTTCATTACTGCACATATAACTTGGGTTAATATAATAATTATTTTATATGCTATAAACATATATCATATAAAACATATTATACGTATAAATAAATCAATCGAACTACTATTTATCAATCAATCCTTCTTATCTCTTAAAACCTCAATATAATATAATGGGAAAAAAAAATGATCAAATAATTTATTGATAATTAAATAGCAATCGAAAAAAAATGATCAACGAAATTAATCGATAATCAAATAATGATCAAAGAAAAGTGATCGAATAATTCGATTAAATCAATTTTCTTTATTTCTTAAAAACCTGCCCGATAATACGCAACACAACGCAATGGGAACAAATGAGAAAAAAAAAGTAAACATGTGACAAGTTGATCGGCTGCCAAAGATTTGTTTACTATTTTCTTTTGCCTACGTGATATATATATTATGCGATAACATAGATTTGAGTTGTTGACGTTATAGTTAGCAATTCTGAAACTGTTTTCGCTTCTCATTTTTTTTTTCAAAGTATTTCGCTCAAATTGATTGATCGGTACTATTTCATGAATATCATGAATGAATGAATGAATGAATGAATGAATGAGAAATGAAAGAATTGAGTGAATGTTTTATATGTACCATAAAATTTTTTGATTATCTTTTTTTTAATAATGCTATTTTGAAATAACAAAATACTATTAACATTTTATATGTTCTCAATCAAAATTTTGAATTACAGCAGCATATGAGAAGCTTTTTTAAAATGTGAATTTAAAATTTTATTCGTGTTGTTATTTTCTTTTTAACTTATCTGATTTCTTCCCATTATTCATGCTTAGTTTATTTCCTACCACATAATTAATTAGAGGTGAATTTTTTTTCTTTCTATTAATTTAATTAATGCATTATAGATGTAACATTAGATCATTTAGATACTATCAAGATTAAGGTAGTTACAATTATTAATATCAAGGTATTGCTGCAAGATATTAACGAAGTTAACAAGATGTTATTATATTTAAGGTACTTATAAGATACCATCATTATTTGGGTACTTATGATGCATAATCAAGGTCAAGATACTTACAAAGTATCATGAGATCGTAATTCATTAATCTTTAATTCCTAACCTGTTGTTATATATCGATATAGTGAACCTATTTCGTTACTTGATAGTAACGAGGTTTTTTTATTTAAATAGAAAATTGTTTGTTTTGTTCGTATGTTTAGTATCACTATTTTAGACTTATTAATTAGCATAATAAGAAGTGATATGGATATAATTAGGATGATAATTAAGAGAAATATAGGATTGTTAATGTAGTCTTGTAATGTATTGAGATGAATGGATGACGACGTATTATTACAATGTTGTTCTCATTCGATAATTATTGATTAATTAATTTAAACAGTTTTTTCTTTTCATTTTATTATTTTCAGGTCAATCAATTATCTAATGTTAATAATACGGAATATTCAAGCATCAACCGTTGGTTCCAGATCGGTACCATTAGGTTTACGATTAAAAAATGATAAAATACCATGGTGTATTATGCCACAATTTTGGATGAGGAATGTTAATTTAGCCAAAAACCATTTAAGCTCAAGTGCTAATAATCAACCAAAGGGTTGGATGGAACGATATGAATCATTTTTATCACGTCGCTATCCTAAAATATATGCTGTACAAAGAATGGTCATGAATGGTATGGATTTTTTCTCTCGTCTTTCTTGCATGCTATCTTTTATTAACTTTGCGAGGATAAAATCGATTAGCATGTATCAGGTTACTGATAAAATTATTGTTAATTTACCAAGAAAGAGAAGAATAGGTTAACTTTTGGCACACAGCTAAATTCAGTTTATATTACCGTGAAACTTAACAACCTAATTCCTACACAATGTTATTTCCGATATGACAACTTACATTTGTATAACATTTAGATGTAGTTTTTTATAGACAATTATAATGATATTTCCTTACGTGTTAATGAATCCAATTTTGGCTTTAAATTTTATGATTAAAAATTAAATATTATTTTATGATTAAAAATTAAATATTAGGAATTTTTATTTATCACTCATTTAGAAATGGATGCTTACTTTTTCTACAGCACCTGGAAGTTTTTTTTACTACGTTCTGTGAATTTCTTTTTTAGGATGCAAATGGTGCTGGTTGGATATAAAAACGTATTATCGATTAAAGAAAGATTTAAGGACCAAGACACGACAAATATCGGAGCTCAAACGATCTGAGTTGCAAATTCTTCTTCAGGTTCATTTTTTTTTCTGCTTATCTTGCAATATGGAATGTGAAGAGGAAAACATAGCATGTGCAGTGTATTCTTCACTTTGAAATGCAATTGACTAATTGATTTAACTGTGAAAAGTTTGAGGCCTTTGCTAGATGTTTGCGTAAAGTGTTACTACACTGATACATATCATAATATCTTTAGCTGAATGAAGTAAAAATATCTTATTTTTTAACATTATATACCTCTTAACGCATATTAATAATAGGATTAGGAGGTGAAATGATAATGAAATATATATTTGAATGAAATTCATTTAATTACATTTCAAAAAAATTCAGTGCCCTTCGGAAATAACGCATATAATCACACTATTAATGCTACTTCAATTACCGGTAGTGGGCGAGAGTCTCTGCGTGATGTTGTGAGTTTGTTGCCTTTTTCTTGATATTCTGAAATCGTTTTAAAATTTTTGGTTCAAACGGTACACTAATGCCTGCGTATCTTCTTTGTCTTTCTGCTTTACGCTGGTGTGTGTCTGTTTTGTGTGTCTTTTTTTGTTTCAACTTAAGTTTTGTGTGGAATTAACGGAAATCTTTACGCAAACTATCATGCTTTTCGCAAGATTCAAGATTATTTACATGCTTAGCATGCTTTTTCTGCTGCAAACCTGTAAAATGCATTAGGGTTAACTAAGGCTTTAATTATCATGGACATCTGAGAGCTTATAAAAATTGTTTTTTAACTGGTGAAGCATTACATGGTTCCGGTGGAGCCAAGCTTCATGTTATCAAGCTTAAAGTTTGATGGCGGTAACTTAGTACAGTTTTACCACGGTTTGTATAAAAATTCTTCTATAATCCGTTCATTGAACTTCTTGAATGTACTATTTTCTTACTTCATCTCTCATATATTACCTAACATCTTGCGCCAAACTTTATAGCTTAACGTTATACAGTTTCTAATCATTTTCAGATTATTTTTATAATTCTCAATGCAATCTCATCTCTTGTTGAAGCTTGTAAATCTTCTCAATGTTTTGTTTTAGACTAAAGAAGAATTGCTGAAATTGGCAGTTATTATCATCTTTGTACCATTGCCATTCACCGTTTACATTTTCGCATTAGCTGTGTAAGCTTTCTTCATTTTAATTTAGCTTCTAATGTATTTATTTTCTCATTCTAATACTTTTCTCACATAAGATTTTCTTTTTGTATATTTCTATATTTACCCAACTAGGACAAGTGATTATTTATGAACATATCATTCTTGCTTATTGAGTTCAAATTTTTCGGCTAATTTGTAAAGCATAAGGATGCATCTCATTGCTGCTCAATGAATGCTGATAAATTGTCACTTCATACGGAATTATAAGACATTTCAAATGCATGTTACTAAATTTTACTCGTTTTGTTAAATGTAACATTACTTACACAATCTTTAATACTTTTTCTCGACTTGCATATTAGTTTAATAAATGCATGAATTGTAGAAGTTACATCGATTTAATTTGATTTATTTAGTAAATTTTATTCCATTCTTGTTTTGATTTTACTTGTTTGGTTATCTTGCGTACATAATTGTTTTGTTTAAAGGATATTCTTTCCTCGATTTGTCTTAACTCGGCATTTTTGGACGAGTGATCAGCGAAAAAAATTTTGGTCAACAAATCTAAAGCGTGCAGCACGAATGCATTTTGTTCCATTGCGGAAATATCTTCAAAATTTGGTGTGTTAGTTTGGTTTTTAATTGGTTTGAAGATGCAAAAAACATAAATCTATCCATTCATGTAACTTATGCGAATTACAAATTACAGTTTTCCTTAATATTTCAGAAGATTTTATATTGTGATAATTTGCTGTGCTGAAATTACTCTTCACTTTTCTTTCCTTATTTGCTAAAACTTTTTAAGCTATGAATTAGATTCATTTCGAAATTTTTATTCGTATTCGCTTGCTTAGGAATGTTGCTCTATTAACATTATTGTCTGCTTTATTAATAGAAAAGAAGAAAAGGTTTTTGTAGGATATTAATGTGCAAACATCACTAAAAGAACTCAAGAAATTGGAGTTGCCGGAAATTAGCACTTACTCGCTTGGACACTTGGTAATAACTTTAAGTTGAAAGCGGAGATATGAGGATCACTTTTTCCTAAAGTTGCTTTCCTCAACTTGCTTAAATTCAGTTTATTAAGTAATTTTCAGTACCATTTATCAAAGCTTCATCGAGTAAGTTTATTTACTGCTGGTGTTCGCGGGCTTCATGATCGAGCAGAAATACTGCGACATTTGGACTATTCGTTAAAAAATGAAGATAGCGCGATCGATATGATGAGTGAGCAACAATTATGTGAGGTGAGAAAAGTTTTTGATATTTTAGATTTTCTTAGCGAATACTAATGCCTTACATTTTAGCAATTCTATCTACGACGTTTGCAATATGATGGCTTATCAGAGGAAAAGATGAAATGTTTGCTGAAAAATTGGGTTCAACACTTGAGTGGTAAGTGAATCACTACAAATTTTGTTGTTTAGTTATGATTTCAAGAATTTGAAGATAAAAAGAATACTTTAAGTTATAGCTTTTGTATGATTACAGATCCACACTTAAAAACGCCTCTTTTCCTGCACGCACCTATTTTTGAAACTGCCTTGAAAAGTGCTGCTGAAGACTGAAGACTTCAGAAACAATGACCATGGATATCTGCTTGTTTATATTTGTTCTGAAAGCACGAGGCTCTTATTAAACAATAATTTGATTTGAATTTGGATCCAGAAAACAGTCAATTGAGTCATTTACGGCTAAAATTAAATTCTAACTTCTTAGCAGCATGCTGCTAAAGAATATAGTTTAAAATAAAATTAAGTCTTCCTCAAATTTCCAGTACGCTCTGATATTTCTCTACGTTATTGAAAATTCCTTTTGGATTCATAATACATTTCGTATATTTTGTTACTGGTAATGTTGCCACTCTTGTATTAAAAAAAATCATTCTTTCAACATTTGTAATCCTGTGTTGCATTTGAAGTACTCACTTCAGGATGTACTTTTTATTGTCCATATTTGCTTCGGAGAAATGTTGCTTGAGCTTATACGCAGAAAAAGTTGTTTGTTAATTCGGTTATATTTTGTTACCGGTATTGATTACTTCTGCATTAAAAAAGAAAAAAAGATATATTTCATTCTCTCAACATTTGTAATTCTGCATCGCATCGTACGAAGAACTCACTTCAGAATATGCAAAATGAGAAAAGTACGTTTAAAAAAATCTTCCAATTGCGTCTTCCCATGTAGAAAACACATAGAAATAGTGAAAGAGTGGAGTTAATCACTTCCACCATCCGAAACATGTGGCGACACCACCCTTGCAGTGGTTATGGCTTTCAGTTCTATTAAAGACTATTTATCCTTTCTTATCCAATTGCTGTTGCAATACCGGGAAGAAAGCCAAGAATCATTTACAGAGTTCATCATCTAAATGAAGACTAGCAATGATCGAATGTTGGATCTACTCATCTGGTTATAGCTAATATACGATATCATCCATTTATGAATGTATATTCAGTTTTGATAGAGTTAATAAATATGGCTCATCAATGTATCATCCCCGTGGATTTCTTACTTTTATTCATATACTTAGAGACCTATATCTTCCCAACTGATTCCACAACATGAATGGTCTTTTTTCATGTTTACAGTCAATTCCACCGATTCTGCAAAACTACGTCATCCCTACAAATTATCTTCGTTAACTATTCTATTATCTCAATTATCTTAGTTAACTATTCCTTTCCCTTTTATAGCATGTTAACTTCATAAGTTACCTAAGTTATGTTGAAAAAAACTTAACACAATCTATTACACTTCCAAATAAGCAGAGAGTAGTAGTTTTACGCTAACAGGTACTCCAAACCTAATTCCGCGGTGACAGTATGCTACTGTCCTCTGGCCTCCAACACAGAAACTCTCGTTATCACTGCAAGCTAAACTTCGAGTATGTCAAAAATATTATTTTTCGCAAACGGAATTTTATATATATATATTTATTGGAATTGCAAACAATTTCATTTAAATTAACAATTAAAAGCCAACGCATGAACAGCAAACATTTTACTTCTTTTTAACCAGTTTCTCGGCTTTTCTTGCTTTGTTCAATTTGGCCATTTGCAAACGCACCAACCTGTTTCGCAGCTGTTTGGCACGCATCAATTTGAACCGGTCAAAGTCGGTCATTTTTGCTTTCTAAAAGGTAATTAACATTTAGAAGATCAAGAGCTAAAAATTGTTTGTGATGAAGGAAATGCCCTGGAACTGCTAACATAACGCGGCTCAAAACAACCAACTAAAAATGTGAGAAGCTTCGCTGAAGTTTCAAAATCCAGTGATGTGCGAAAAAACTAAAGCAATAATGGATAAATGGGATCCACATTGTTGAGTGATTTTTCTTTCAAATTTTCCAACTTCCAAATGTTAATATGGAAACAACTACTTCCAAACAGCTTTTTATAATAATACATCGAAATCTATATCAGCATGTATTCGAATATAACGTAATAACTGACATCGCTTCACATAAAATCACTTTTTGCCGAGTAGTATACTGATAGTGAGTCCTCATAGAACATATACCCTATACCACTTATAAAAAGCAGATCTGCCACTACAAACAACCACTTTCTTACCCATCCGTAAAACGCCCCTTCTCCCAAAAAAACCCAAAGACAGACCGTCAATCAATTTTGCGTAACGGTCACGCTAAAAATTACAATCAATCATCAGTAATAATAAGCATGAATAAATAACACTTACAATTTCTTTTTTAGCAAGCTTTTGTGCCCATAAAGTTTCTGTCCATTTCTCGCCAATTTTTGCTTCATCAAATGCCTTTTTGACATTTTTTGTGCGCATTCCATGCCTCAGTGGTATACGAAATTTCGTCAGATGGAGGTCTTTAAAATTACGAACCGAACGTCTCACCCCTGTAGTTGGTCCGTCAATCAAGGCCTGAAAACTCACAGAACATCAAACGTCGTAACTTTGTTTCCTCAATGAAATTTTGAACAAGTTATTAGACCTCCAAGGAATAAGAATTGGATTTAAAATGGAAGATATTTTTTCTAAAAAACCGCGATATAACACGTGGATTGATGATTACATAACGTTCAAAAATCAAAATCTTTCCATTCTATTAAGATAGCTAACCACGTGTAAAACATGTGTTTACAATATGGTTCTAACTATAAGTAGAAGGCATAACATATAAACTGAAGACCAACTCTATTTCCATCAACAACATCAACAATAGTTGCCAATTTTCCATCACCATCACCTTTGGCAACGAAGACCACGCGGCCGATCTCCACCATCCGTTTATATACCATCTTTGATTGACCTCAACAAGAAAAGTTGCCTACCACTTGATTAAATGCTAAATAAGAGTTATCAACGAAACATTCAGCTCGATAAGAAGTACCGAAAATCCGTAACTCGATGAAGAGCTTACTTATAGTATATCCGACAACAGTCAAATTCAACTAAATTTTCTATCCGACTGAAAATTTGCAGATTCGTATTCCGCAAAATTCCATATGATAAGCTATAAAATCAATGACAGCTAACCAGCTATGAACTAAAAATGGAAGATTTTAGCAGTTTAAAGGCCCCAGTAGGAATACTTCTGGAGACCGAGAGATTTCGATTTGCCCAGTTAAGACAAAGTAGCCCCCAACTTTTGACCCCGCAAGAAAAATGGCCACTCTTTTAACCACTTTTCTGAACTCCACTCCCTCTCTCCACTAAGTACTCGAACCTTCACACTCACCGCCTTCCCTTCAATCCAAACCATTAAACAAACCAAATACTCTTTGTGCTACCTCGTGCGCACACCACGTGAAAACTTAAAGTCCCGGCGTTTGAATATGTTCAAGCTGAAGTGTTGGATGGAGGCTCAGACGTACGGGTGTCAGAAGAAAAGTAATGCCTATGCAACTCACTTCATAAGGCTTTATATCTTAAGTCATACTTTTACGTTTTTTGATCCACTTCCACTTTTCAACCTAAAGCAATTAGAAAAAAAAAAAAACAGAAAACTATTTTAAACTAAGTGGCGTTACCTTACATTGCAGAAATCGCATACGTCACATACTACAGATCATATTTTAAACTAAAGCATTAGTGAGAAAGTAAATGATGCAAAGCTAAGGGCATTAAATGATGCAATACAGCCTAAGAAATATCACGAGTCCAGCGGTCGGTAGGAACTGCGAATGAAATAACTGTTTTAGACGAAAACTGTTTATTCACAATAATGGCAACAAAAACGTGTATGTAAATTATTTATAGCATTAGAAAAAAACGAGAGAGATGAGTATAAAACCAAACACAACCACGTTAATTATGATTTACAAGGATTTATCACATGGACTGTCTCCCAACCTTTTGACTATTAGACATTAAATTTAACTAAGACAGCAATTTGATCAATGAGGAAATTTATTAATATAAAACTGATAATTTATTTCAATTCATTTCCAATTAGGCCTTGCATTCTTTACCTTATTTTCACTTTTAGTAAATTACTTTAAATTACATATTTTTGGAAGTATCACGGTCTAATAAATCTTGAAAATGCATCCTAAATTATCTAGTTTTTAATTCCATTCTTTTTTTTAAAACTTCTAATCTTGATTTCATCACCTTACGTCATCCAGACTTTCATTAAAAAAATCCCATCTTATTCTAATTCGCCACCAGTTAAAAAAGAAAGAAATCTGCAAACATATTCGATTTTGAAACTTCTCGTATCCGACTATCAGAAAAGGAACGATGAAATATTCCTAAGACTTCTCCTTCTTCAATTCAACTTTTCGATTAATTCAATTTCCTCCTTGAATGACAGAATACAATTTTACTGAAACATCTGCCGCCTGAGATGAAGCTGATGCTTGATATGGCCTAATTTTTTGAGAATATTGGGAATTGCGAAGTACATACTATTAAGCATAATAGAAAAAGATGTCTTATAAAATTGGAAACAGCAGCGCTAGCGAAATTTACTGGACAAAGTGAAAAACTCTAGACATGAAAACATGTAAAAACAATGCTATACGGAATTTCTAGAAAATTTTCGGAAAAATAAAAAAATCAAATCAAAATTAAATACTTTAGTGGTGGAAAGGAAAAAATTTAAATACCGAATACATGGGATTATTCACTTGTAATACCTATTTCTGCACGAGGTTATGCGGAAAATTTAAGGGAGCATTACGAGGAACATTAAAAGCTAAATTTTGGGCAGCACTGCATGTAGAAAATCTAATTATGAATAAAGCGAAAAAAGAACCCTGTAACTGGTAACAGAAAAAAAAAGTATCAAACTGAATATGGAAATGCATGAAAAGAAATTTCACAAAAAAGAAATCATTTCAGATGAAATAACGGAACTACTAAAGTAACTAGTTTTGAATAACACTGAATTTCGAGAGGCTCCAGCCTGAAACCTAGAAATTGTACCATTTTTTCTTTTCGTACTTTTCCACTAGCTTTCCCGTTCGTTGCGAAAGAGTCATTGCATTTTCTTTAAGTCGTTCTGTTGCATCCACGGTTATATTCAGCTTTTCTGCACGCTCATTTAAAGCCTGAAAATTAAAAATATCGCAGATACGTACTTAAAATAGTTTACTACCAATCAATCAGAGAGTAAAGTGTTCGTTTCATGATACAAGGAACCTGAAAATGAAGATTCCTAAAAAGAGCCGAAGACGGATTTAATTTTTGCATAAAATAGATTGTCAATGATTCAAACAGCCGATCTATGTTCGCCTTTTGATCTTCCTGATATCATCAACACTTATTCTTTAGTGTCCCAGTGTTACAGCTTTTAACAACGTTGGTCTTTCGAAAATAGCCTTCTGTGAAAGACATCCCAATTTAATATGCAAAAAGAAGAAAGAAGAAAGACAGGCTTTCATGCTCTTACAGCTTCAGAAATCTTTTATAGAGATCGAAGGCAGAATAACGCTTTAAAATGCATATTCACTAAATAAAGGCACTAAATAAAGTAAAAAAGCTTTTTTCCAAAAATCCTAGAACAATTTCTAGGCTTACGATAAAATACCTGTAAAGCCATGTTTGCAGCTTGACCTGCTGATACACCGCGTGCTGTAGCATGCTCCATGCTTGATGGACCAGGTATCGTTTTTGCAATAGAACGCATATTGCTGCCGGCCACCGAGTTGGAATTTTTGTCAAAAACTGAAACTTCTTTCAGATTTAAAGTAAGTAGAGAAATCAAGCAAGTCAGAAAAAAAAAATCAAGCAAGACAAATCACGAGTCAAGAAATGAGAAAAGAAAACAGTAAAGGGATTACGCAGAGCATCCAAATCAAAGCTGTCTTTCTGACTGGCAAATAAGGTTGACATCCCTTTCAGAAATGAACTTTTTGGTTGTTCAGGCATATCAACAGGCACAAACAACTCGCCAGCCGATCCGTGTACTTGATTTGTCAGTTCGGAGCAAACCGTGAATTTCTGGATCTGAAATATAAACCAAGTTAGTTCCATATAAACAAAATTTGATTCTGCACTTCAATGTTTTGCATAGAAAAAACAGAGGAAAATGTATACGTAACGTATTCCAAATTTATTCAATCTGCGGAAATGTTTATTTACTTTCAACACTTACTTTCAGTTTCAACTTCCTCCTCTACTTCCTCTTCTACCCTACTTCCTACTTCCTCCTCTTCTTTTGCTTCCTTCTCCTTCCCCTCTTCTTCTATACTCCAATTTGATTAAGCATTAAAACAATTTTCTTTATAATTGAGAAAAAGAAGGAAAATTGAGAGGAAAGGAAGAGCTTCCCCTAAGTAAATATTATTCTGATAATATTCAATTATTATCTACAGTTATCGACCGCCGGTAATAACTGAACAATGACTAGTACTAATCTGTTCGACCGGTCGTTTACCTCTGATGGCGTTATCGTGTACATACCCAATCCATGTTCGGCAAAGGATGTCTTGAAGCATATGCTGAAATAGGACCAAAACTGAGAATACATTCCAAAATAATTCTCTTTACTTACTTTAAACTGTAAAGTAAAGCACGAATTAAAACAGTGAAATTTGCATAATTTCAAATAATTTTGCCACAAATCATTTCATCTTAAATTTTCCCTCTCTCTCGAGGTCATCACTGCTTTAAAGTAATAGAAATCGCACGCGATTCTGATCGCCTGTCAACCCTATGTTTCAAGCAACTATTCATTGGAATTAATAATATTACAAAAATAACAACTATTTCATTGAAATTATAAAAATTATGATAAATAAAAAATTTACGGGTCATCGTAATCAACGGAATGACGGAAAAGATTTGAGCAAAAAAGAAGCCTTAAACTTGGAAGGCTTAGTATAACAATTTGTCCTGCGCCATTTAATATCATTAGCACAGGATAGCCATGGATATGTGTTGCCCGTGCCTGAAAGATTCACAGATGTGAATATCAGTCCAAGCTCAATCACTCCATGCTGCATAATTGTGATAATATCTAAATTTCTACATAACAGTTGCGCTCTTGGACTATTCCAAGCAGATCATCTGCGGTTTGTTAAACTTCAGATATTTGGTCTCATTTGATCATCAAGCACTTTTGGTTTACAAGGACCTTCCGGAAATATTTGCCGTTATGCGCTGACCTAGAGATAATACTTCTAAGTGAGTTCTAGAAATTGCAGCATTTTCAAGTGTGCTAGAAAATTGACCTTAACGAACGGAAATTCCGGACGATATAAAAATAAAAAATTGAAGTTTGGTAGTGCAACGGTATGTACTTCATCCTCAGAAACCAAAACAGCAAACTGAAATGATAATTAAAATTAAAATTAAAAAAGACTTTATATTAAAAAAGAAGAATACCAAGAGAATTTACTTCATATGAACGTATGACAATAATTACAAATCAAACATTTACTAATAGTAAATGGATATCAGAATTCTGAATACCAGAAATCCTCCGATCATCAATTACCTGCAAAAAATCATCCTCTCCAGAATATTCTGTAGCGTTCGAGCAAGTTGGTGAAAGACTCCATTTTGTAAGAACTTTATTTGGAAAATTTTCTTCTGAATGATTCCGATCACCTTCCTGAAACAGACAGTCCAACTTATTCATTCTTATTCAATTTAGACATGTTTATGGGTCATGCAGGCTTGCAATTCCAGACGTAAATGAATGACATACAGTCCTATCCCAACTAATCAATTTGAGTGGACTATCAAACTAAAGTTACTTTTCGCAAGATTTCTCAGAAAATTAGTTAGTTTCTAAGGATGATAACGAAAATTTTCGAAATACTCGTGTTTAAGAAAACTCATTATATATATTTAAAACTAACTTTGGGTTTCGCAATCATTTTTTCATGATAACTTTCAGCTGCACCTTCTAACAAACGAAAATTTCGATCCATCAATGTCGTGTATAACATACGTCCTCGCGTATGAACCACCGACCCTGAAAAAACATTCCAGAAAATTAATGCATATTAGCTTTACTTACTTTACGATATATCAAATTCTCTAGATCTTTTGATTGTATCTCTCAAGTATATTATTCAAAAACAGAAACCAACCGCTATGAACCACAGAAACTGCTGAATTCAGCCGATCTGCTGGGATCAGTAAATAATAGATGATACATGTGCTCGCAGAAGTACCAACCCAAAGGCAGAAATTTGCTCGAGGATCTGAAGTTCTCAAAAAACTGTGCTTTTGAAATTTCACAGAATTTAGAATCGCAAATATTGGAAACCCTCTTAATGCTCCATGCTGATTATTCGAAGCATGCTTACTTTATAAAGAGAGAGTCTTTTAAGAGGTAAAGATTACTTGTCAACGACAACAATTGAAAGTAGTGTCAACAATTATAAGTAATCATTAGATATGGTAAAGAAAACAGACTAACCTTTTTTCTTGACAGATGACTGGATAAATGTCAACGAAGTCACACCCTCCGAAAAAACCATCTTGTTGGCACCCGGTGGACTATCATCTAATGAACTTGCCTTCGCTGTTGATGGATCTGAAATTCTCTAAACCCTGTTACCAAATATGAATGTTCATGACAGAAAATCTATCTCTTAAACTAAATTTCAAGCAAATTTTATCGAACAATCCAGCTTGAAACATTGTTGTCGGACTAAGAATAAAATGAAAATTATTCGATATGGAAACACCCATATATGTACCAATTTTTCGCAGTGTCGAAAGCCAAGAAAACCGAAGGTGGAAAGAAAAATAAGGAATAGAAGAAGATAGAAGATGTCAGTTATTACGGTTCGACTTCGATTTGTTTTTTCTTGCTCTATATGTTTGTTAGATGTTCAAGCATTTTTTTACCCAAAAGTAAATCCTGAAAATTCCCAGCCTTTTTTGAAGTTGAAGACTTGAACTAAAGCTTGAACACAAAGCAATACCATTCTACCATTTCTACGATTTTCTTCACTTTTCAATTGCACCCATTTACTTCACTACAATCTGTATTAACTCTTTCAAATTAAATCCCACAATTAGAACTTGCCTTACAATAAAGAGTCGATTTCACACAAAAAATTATATTGATAGATTGAAATAGGATGGAAATAAAGAACCTGTTTACAACCAATTCATAACAATAAGCTTCCAATTATTAAGTATTACTCGAAAATAATTTTTTTTTACCCAACTGTCTTGAACTTTTTTAAAAGAATTAGACATAAAAGATAGGAGTTAATACTCGGAATAGCTTATGAAAAAAAAAACGTTTAGAATTACCCAGAGAATATTCAAGAATTTTATGAAGGCATTTCGAGTTTCTAAAACAATCGTTCATATGGACATGTGCTAAAAGGTATGATAACGTCAACGATTAAACAAAAAAAGTAAAAAATAACGCAAGTTGGATGTTGTTGGAAGCTCTAGCTACTCATTTTTTTTAAACAACAATACATAGTGATTAACACTCTGGCAATCTCATGCAGAGTAATGTTTCGTTCCGGTACGTCATCAGAAATATATGTAATACCCTCCAATGACTGAATAGTAATAATCTGTTTATGTCAATTTAAGGCTAAATGTAATGTTCATTACTTTTGCAGCAAAACGTGTGCCAGTGAGTTAGCAATTTCAAACATATCAGAATGATCTTAATTTTTCTGCACAATTTCTTATGGCAAACATGATGACAGAAAACGCATGCAAAGACAAATAAAAACGAGGGTTAACGTAAAAGCATATTTGCCCTTCTGACTTTCCAATTTCAATTCATTTAATAAAATATGAGAAATGTAAAAAAATGAAGAGGATGTCAGAAAACAAAAATAAGTACCATTTGAATCAATAATAGATTGCGACTTTGACAACTGCCTGTCTGGACGTAGACGCGAGTTTTCCGTACTACCGCGTAATATCGACTTGCAACTGACCAGAATTGGTGGTGAATCCATACTACGCCTCGTGTCCATTCCATACTGAAGCTACCGCAACAACCAGTTTTAAAAATTGTAACGGAATCTCAGATTTTTAAATCCTAGCTGCGCAAAATTAGTTCACCTGAAGAATTGATGTAATGTTTGGGCATTGTCTATATCAAGTTAGCTACTGCTATTTAGATTAACCTATCAGTTACTACTACATAATTGTAAAAGTAATTATTAGTACATGTACTATATTGAAAGAGAAAAAGTATAGTCCAAGGAAGACATCAGTAAACAAATAAAATGACAAGCAAAGGAGGACTCGGAATAGTACATAAGCACAAAAATAACACGACCAGAACTCTCCTTTTTCGTTTGAGAATGTTCCACCACTTTGAAAAATATCGAATCACCTCTAATCAACTCTTCTTTCTGTTAAGCGCTTGCAGGTATATTTTATTCAAGGAAAGTAGAGTTCATAAAATATTTTCACAGCACCGATAACAAAGACAATGATCCTGCCGTTTTTCATATGCACAATAACTGAATCGAAGTATAATGAGCTTCGAATTTAAATTTTGCTTTTGAAAAAAAAACACTCATTTTAATAAAACTTTGGATCATTTGCCTCTGTCAAAAACATTAAAACGAAAAGCGGATAAGGGATATGCATGCTGATTGCCTTACCTAACAATACTTTCGACCCCGATAATGATTTGGACTGTTCATCAGAGGCTGTGTCGTATATATCGTCAACGATTGAAAAGTTTTCCTTTTAACACAAAGTTTGTCGACTAAACAGTTTGAATTAACTCCCGAACCCCTCCGAATCTTCCGCTCTTAGAATTTCGTTGTTTCGTACAGATCCACTTTCTATTTCATTTCGAATTTTTACTTAGTTCCGAATTCGCGGACGTTTCCCGTTATCTAAAATTATGCAAAGCGGAATATTCGCATGTTAACGCCTCGTTATCTTCTGCTGTTACGGCCTCCATTATTTTTATTCTGTCTTTTGTTTGTTGTCCGATTAAGAAATGTTTTCCTAACATCATATGTTTGGAAAGTTTCCGACGATTCGACGATTTATTAAAAGAGCTGTATCGGTGAGTAGTTTTAGCAACTTTTGGCGTAGCTTATTTAACTAAAGTGTCCCCGGACATCCATCTCCAAAGGTAATTGTACGGAAACACTTGTTGTGGAAGTTTCTTGTTCCTGCGGTGGTACGATGAATGGCTGAAAATATGTAATCAAGTATGATAAAAAATTGCATGCAAACACGGAACCCACACAACAAAAATATTTCAAACATATTTGAGCGAGATGGGAAAAGATGACCTGATATTTCCAGAACAGTACAACATATATTTTAGAAGCGATAGAGCTATAGAGATCGTAGTTCTCCTCAGTTGAATGACACACAAAACCTCCGCATATCAGTACTGACCATTAGCTAACCTACTCATGCCCAGTGAGAAATAATTTTTCCCAATACTTTGTGCTGTTCAATCGGTATCAATTAACTTTTCACGACTTGTACAAGCTAACTTATTTGTTATCATTCAACCTATCAAACCATCTACCATATTTACTTTTAAACATTCTCGAGATCATTCCCTAGATAAATTCATACACATTAGTTGAATATCAAAGAGTACCGCAGTGAAGTGGAAACGAAAAACACGAAACATGAACGACAACAACAATAAGAAGGACAAATACTACAGCAGACAAACAATCATTTATGAATCAAAAACTTATTAAAAAAACAGAAAAGGGGAAGTAAATTGCAACACTTTAATTATCTATTATGTTATTTGACCTTCCTGTATTTTCTATTTCTACTTACACAAAAAAATCATTAAGTTAAAAGCATTTTCACAGCTCATATTGCTAACAAGCTAAGTCAGCTAAACTCACCAGTCTAGTCTCTACTATTTAACTAAAGTATCAACATGTAATGTGATTTATAAAACTGAAGAAATGCTGAACATGAAGCAATTAACCACTAAATCATGTGTTCTTATTCTTTTGAAATCTATAAAAGTTACTCTCCAAAACTACAACTTAGTTTCGAAAAAATTTCGAAAAGACAAACATCATTTTGGCTTGAGTTGCTGCTCTGACTAAGCAATATTGGTGTTGAAGGCTGCTGAACGCATAGATCAGCGACCGACCAAGAACATATTATAATACATTGCATTAAATCAACCAGAGTTAAACTTGCTGATGTACCTGAAACTATTAAGATTGATGAATGACTCATTTTATATATGCAAGAAAACCCAAACATATCATGCCATTCTTTATCAGTACCACACTTTGAATTCAAGTGAAGTTAAATCTAAACTGGATTCATCAGTTGGGCTATGACAGTTACCTTTCACCATACATTTAAAAACAATGCTCTCGACAAGGGAAATTGAATGAGCTGTTTCGAGATTTAGCTGGATTAGTTTCTTAAATTTAGAAATTAAAAAGTCACTATGATAACTAGATCGTTCAGTTCAGCATGTTTGCACAACTCTGCTATATAATGGTTCTGTTTATCGGTTTTTCTATTTAAGCTATTCTACTAATCCCAGTTATCAAACCTTTTGATTTTCACATAAAAAGATGTGAAAAAATCATGTAATTATTCCTGGTGGAAGCCAAAAAATGTAAAGGGTAATAAGATATGGAAAAATTTTGTTGCATAATTTTTCAACCGCTAATGCAATTACGAAAGGATTTTAAATGTAGCAATAAAAAATAAAAATCCACCGAGAGCAATAATGCCGTATGCTGAATTAACAGCCATCGCTGTGATTGCCTCCGGTTGTGACACATTCCTCCATGGAACCATGCATACCAAATCTGGCTGAAATTAATATTTTATTAAGGTTCAACGACAAAAAGGAAAGCTTTTAATGATACAATTTTTGAAAGAATTTATATTATATCCATACCCACCTGATAACCTGCGGGTCTTTTGAGCGCACCACCTCGTACTTTCAATGGAAAGTAACCATCATGTGTGCTATTCTCACTGGTATCTGTACTATTTGATTCCACTGAAACTACCGTTCCTTGCCTCTTCAATTCTCTCTTTGAAGAAGGTCCTTTAGCCGATTCCACGCTGCTCGATAAGAAAGAAAATGCCGATGGAATATGAATTACCTGGAAGGGATGGAAATGACTTCAGAACCGTTAAGGATTTAATTTCACAAACATTCAGAGGAAAGCTAATTTCTTAGCGATGCTAATTATGAAATGAAACAGCAGAAAATAATTTCATCTTCCATAATATAACCTATTCGAAATTGAAAATTCTTGACATCTTACAGTAATCTCATGAGAGTTCTCGGTTTTCACAAAACGAAACAATGTCAACTGTCCACTTTGTCCAGCAACTAGCAGCAATCGAGAATCCAGACATAATTTAATCATCGTAACGGCTTGCGATGCTTCACAAAATTCGATCCCATCATTTCGCTCGAAATGTCGCCCACTTTTTAATTTATACAAAATTTGCAGATGCTCACCCGATGCCTGCCAGAATTTTATCGACCCATCTTCATGGCTGCAACAAGCAGAATCTTGAATGAATTATATGCATCATTATATCTATCAGTCCTGTACAACAAAAACTAAAATTTTTAACTAATTAAGTGAAACAATTTGATTACTAAAACACGAGATAAAGCACAACATTTCACGCACTGCTGCGCATCATATGAATATTTTGACGGATCAACATCAAGTCTATCATACGTTAAAAGCATGTAATTATGTTATTGAAACGAAAACAGCGATTACTTTCTCTCCACGGATGTTCTGAAACTACCATTCCATATTTTAAGCCAACATATAAGCAAAATTACCCCGTAAGTAATAATTCTTGATGACCCATTGCACAGTCGCGACTACTTCCACCTGTGATTGGCCATGGCTGTAAAACCAAATTTCGAAGTTTCAAAGCAAAGGAGTGTGAAGGAAGGAAAACCTAAATCCAAGAAAAAAAATGAATAAACCTTATCACTGAATCCTTGACGTCGCTGTTTCGAACCAACAAGTGCTAGAGCACCAAGTAAATCAAGAGGACAGTCGGAAAAATAGGATATGCATTGTACCCGTGATTCATGAATATCCATGGGACTAACATTTTCATGGCACGGATAACTGAAATTGTTTGATATGGCAATTAAATTTAAAATTCACAATGCCATTTATAACTTTCTGACCGAATTGAAAACCTGAATTGAAAAATTTAAAACTCTACAAAGAATTTTTGTTGAAAAGAAAGTCCGACATATGACAAAACTGTAGACCTCTGAAGCATCTCAGACTTATTTTTCATTTAGGCACCTAAAGTTATGGCCTCAGAGATAGTAGAAAATTTAGAATTGATCTAAAACATTCTAATATTTTATTCGACACCGTTTTGTAAATTTTAATTTCTACATAGATAATTAAATACACGAAATCACCCTGGAGTAGTAAGATCGATAACAAGCAAGTCATGTTTCGTAAGTACTGCAGCAGCAGATGGTTGCTGTGATACATTGCTATAAGGGGAAGTATTTAGAGATGCAAAGGTGATCAACGGATGATCTAATTCCAGAACTGTAACTGATTTTGATGCTCTCATTATGGTCAAAGTAGGTAATATACCATCTTCCTCCGACATGCCTGAAAATTTGAAATTCTTAATCCACTGAATGAAATTTTTGGGTTTTTGAAAGATATTCATGAAAATACTGACCGCCACTAAAAATGATTAACTGTTCTCCATCTGCTGAGTGCTTCCAATCAACCTGGAATTTGTAAATAAACTGCGCTATTGTAAATTGAAGAGAAAAGATGAGGAGTTCGACATTACCATATCTTAAAATTATGAAATGCAAAACTGCGAAATTTGCAAATTCTTTCTAATTTTGCATTCATAACAATTCACGTAAAGACATACCTGATTAATAGGATTACATTTTTGCCCATGAGGTTGCAGTTTTTGCGTATATTCCCCTGGCTTTCGGATATTCCAAACCAAAAGAGATCCATCTGCAGTACCACACATAAATTGTCGGCCATCATGGTGCCATGCAAAGCAACGGGCTGGTTGATCAGATATGAACCTATCTGCCTGAAATAAATTTGAAACAATAGAGAATAGCTGAACTTTTTTTCAACATTAACGGAAAACAAGAACAGTCCCACAGAAATTAATTTCTAAAACAGTCGCTTACTTCCTTCGTTTGAAGATTCCATAATACAACATTCCCTTTTTCATATAGAAGCAATAATTTAGAAAGTTCAGTAGGACAGGTAGAAATAGCTTTTACACTACCAGGATGAGTACGGACACCCCTGAAACATATTAAAACGGAATATATTGTCATCTCTCAAATGGAACTGAATCAAAAGAATACATCGTGTATATCTCTATAATTAATTAAAAGCAAATACCCTCGTAAATGAGTGCAATGATACGAAGTTACAAATATCTGCTAACTAAAAGTTGACACTAATATAATAGCATTTACTCATTCTTCTCAAATCGATTGTCACTGTACGGATTTCTTATTACCGTAAATAACAATCTTTCTTCAAAAACAAAAATTGGCATGAAAGGAAGAGAGATATTTGTAAAGATTGTATTTAAGAAAGGAAAACGAACTTTAAAGACTAATAAAATACGGCAGGTTGTGGTATAATAAAGTTTTGGTAAAAAATATTCGTAAAAATGAAACAAACTGCAGCAACATTCTATGATACCATAGAATAGTAATGTTGGTGTTTTTTTAATTTCGAAGATACAAACATCATTTATTCTCTTACGAAGAAAAGGAATTACTGACAAGGAGAATTATCAAATATTTAGCAGAAGTCTGCATCACAAATTTCGTTCTAATTAAAGTTATTTTATTCCATACTGCTTATTTTAAAATGCATCGAAAATTTCCAGCAACTTAAACATCGTATAAAAACAAAAAAAAAAGTATCTTACAGCAAGAAATAAAAAAAGAATGGAACTTAAAGAGTAAACAAATTCTAATTATGCTCAAAGAAAAAGAACAAGTAAGCTTACAAATCAATGGCTTTGTTCCAGTTGATGGCGTAGTTAGATAAGGTAAACGTTGCTATATTAACAAAATACACATTGCCACGTTCGGTTCCCAAATATAGCCATTTACTTTGGAAAGAATGATTGATACAAGTAACTTGCTCCTTCGTTAATTGTATACTGTGTAACACCACTGGTACCTGAACAAGGCATTGACAATGCATTATCAGATCCAAAGAACGAAAAATTCATTTTCCCGATTAAATTCAAAATTGTTGCAGGTTATTTAATTTTTCAAACATTAAACAAAAAGTTGCTTAAAGCTTTCTGATTTCTGACTCTTACTTTACTACAAATTTTTTGTTGATGCTTCAAAGAATCTTTACAAAGCGGAATCATCAATATTCCTAGGAATTGAAAAGTTCTCACCCATACCTTTTGCCGAAAGTTCCACAAATGTACCAGGTCATCACGGCATGCAGTAACTAATGCTCCCTGAAAACAATCTTTCTTTATTTTTGATTTTTCCTTTTTGCTATTTGTTTAATTTCCAAAATTTCATTTCCTATTTTTATTTCGATTATATTTCATATATTGCTTATTTACATTTAACACTCTATCTCTTGTTTTCAGCAAACAAAAAATTATAGCTGTTGTACTTTTTTGAGATTTATTATAATTTCGCATATGTAATGAATATTTAATAGATCTTGCGTGAGGAAAAACAAATCTAAATACAAGGAAAAGATACTCTGAATTCACTACGAATAAATAAAAGTACTAAAAGTAAAAAAATGTTATATTCTTTCTTCATGTTTTTTTCAAACAGCTTTTTCCAGTTACAGTAGTCACTTCACACTGAAAAGCAGCTGTTTTATGCTTTATTAAAATTTCATGACGATCGAGAAGGAAATAATCTTTTGACATACTGTCATTTTTTGCAATGACAAAGAGAAATATGCGGTATGGTTCTACAACAAATTATATCATTGTTAGTGAAACAGGCTCAGAGCTCGCAATAGCAACCCTTCCATTCATTTAGAGAAAACATCTAAAAGGAAGGTCCTACTAAGGGCCAATTGTAAGACCTGACAAGAAAGAACCACAAGCCAGGAAATTTATTACCCAAAAGAACAGCAGAGAGAAAAGTTCTAAAATAAATTACTTAAAATAAATTTGGTAAACCTCCTAATGGTCCCATATTTTAATCAAAAATTTTTAATCAAAAAAGAGCACTGAAGAATAATAAAACATATTTCATTCATCAAGAATTGTATATGAAGCACAGCAGCATTTGATTCATGTTTCAGGCAATAATCCACCCCAACACCTCCGATAACTCTGATTACTCCGTGCCCCGTGCCTATGGCTAACAATCGTTGCACGGTATCGTAGGCCATACATCGAGGATCGTCTGGAAATCCGTGCCTTACGACCTGGAAATGTTCCGAAGAAATTCCTTTAAAATATTTATGATAAATTTTATCAAATAACTTGGGAATTTTTGAATGCGTTGAATACGATACCGCAGAAGCCTAGAGATTTGCTAAATAAAATCTCACTAATTTCCGTTTTTTTTTTTCCTTTTATCCATCAGTATATAGCCCACACTTTTTCAAAATTCAATTTTATAACAATGACTGCTCTACGGAGGAACTATTATGTGAGCAAAAATGCTTTTAACATTTACTTCTTTGACTTTCACTTCGGAAATTTATTCATGAATTGCTATTATTTGTTTAAAAAAATGATGAATTTCGAAATTAATTTTACTCGAATTTTAAAATATTTAATACAAATCCCAGTAGAGCAGAGGATAATATATTCGGAATCGAAGTCATCAAGTATAACCAGTAGTTAAATAAATGACAGCTTTCTTCTTTCTCTCTTCCTTTCCTCTTCAATAATATACAAAGAGTTGAAATGCTATTTCTTTTTTAATATGACTACGATTCCGAGTATTTTATTCTCTGCCGTACCCAAATAAGCAACACTCTTCCTTTTAGGAATACTTCAATAAATAATGTGTAATAAATCCTGAAAAAGAAAATCTCTCTGTATGGAAAGATTAATTACACATCACTTACTTCTGTCAAGCAAACATCTTCCGTAGTTATCTTCTCTTTTAGTTCCATTTCCGTTTTATGCTGATTCCTAAAACCATCAAATGCTGATGCTAAACGTTTCTTTGCACGATCCATCGTTCCTCCTCTTTATCTTCGTTCTTGATCTTTTTTCCGTTATTAGTGCTGCTATTGTTATTCTAATAATTTGTTTTGCTGTTACAGCAAAATTTAATCAGAATTTAAAAAATAATTCGAAGTAGAATACAATAGAGAATATCAGAATTCCTTTCAGTTGTTGATGCTGTTGTTTCATTGGTATTTTCTAATGGTTTTAGTTTTTAAACAAGTATGAAAGTAATTAACGACCATAAAATTTCATTTTAATTAAATCCTGAAAAAAGGATTGAAATTTACATTTAAATTAAAATTGAATAAAACGATTAAATAAATAATACGCACATGCTGATACCGATATAAAATAATACACACATGGCTGATACCGATATAAAATAATACACACGTGCTGATACCAATATAAAATAATATTGCATGAAGGAAAAAAATAAATGTGTAAAGAAGAGCTCAATTATAATCTCGCTTCAATCCGGTTACAATTAATCTTGCTTCAATCCGGTTACAATTAATCTTGCTTCAATCCGGTTACAATTTAATGTCATCTACATCTCAAAAACTATTTTTCCCTTCATTGGTTATACATCAAAATTTAGCAATTTATAATTTTTGCCCAATGGAACATTACATATGATATTTGTGTAAGTTATTATTTATTGATATTATTTATAGCTTACTTATCTACTACACTTGTTACTGATCAATTTTTCGTTATTAATTTGAATTCATACCTTATCGATTGATTATTTAAAAGTTGCTTACAAATTTATTTAATTAAGATATAACAAAGTGGATAAGAGAGAAAACAAGCAAATTGAATTACAACCTTTGACTTTTCATTTTGTTTTCTGCTAAGCAGCCAAATTTATCAACCCCTTTTCTTTTTCTAAACAAAACTGAGCAAGCTCACGATAAAACTGTAAACAATAATTTTTAACCAAACAAAATAACCATTAAAAAGATTGGCCCGTGGCCCACACTTATCACCACTTTGAAAAAAATAGCAAACCTGTTCCTCAAACTTAAAAGCCAATTTGTTAGTGAAAAAGCTTGACATGTGCATAATATATAGATGTGCATGTGCATTAGTCTGTTCATTAGTGTGCATATAGTGTGTATGTGTGTGTACGTGTACGTGTGCATGCATGCATAAATGTGCAGATGTGCATGTATGTGGGTGTGTGCATATATATATATATGTTTGTATGTATGGATGTATATCTGAGATAGTTTTTGAAAATAAATAGTTAACAGGAATGATTGAAAGTGTAAAACGCGGATGGAAAATATGGTTACTTATCCGATAAATTTCTACCTCTTCCCTGCACTTATCCACTTTTTAGGATTATATTGATAGAGAAAATAAAGGGAAAAATGGCTCTAATAAGTGCAAAACATTTTTCCGATTGCCTACTAAATACATTCCATTAATGCTCTCACATATATATATATAAATACACATACACATAAATGCATTTAAGAAATGGATCGATAAATTTTAAGATGAAAAAAAGGTAGATAAATTTCCGTCATTTTTCTTCCTTGCAACAAATTTATTATGAAAATTTCATTTTCTTTACTTTTCGTTCCTCTAAATTTTTATAATTTTAATTTACAAATTTAACATTAAATTAAAACAAAAGAAATAAAATAATATTTGATGAGAAGTTGTTGTTATTTGTTTGTTTATATTTGATGAGAAGTTGTTGTTGTTTGTTTGTTTGTTTGTTTATATTTGATGAGAAGTTGATGTTGTTGTTTGCTTGTTTATATTTGATGAGAAGTTGTTGTTGTTTGTTTGTTTATATTTGATGAGAAGTTGTTGTTGTTTGTTTGTTTATATCTGACGAGAAGTTGTTGTTGTTTGTTTGTTTATATTTGATGAGAAGTTGTTGTTGTTTGTTTGTTTATATTTGATGAGAAGTTGTTGTTGTTGTTTGTTTTTTCGTTTTACTGAAATGACACAATAAGAATGTGTTGCAAATTATTTGTCATTGTTGCATGCCATATTTTAATTTTAATGAAAAACAACATTTCAGATAATCAATATTCATTCTATTTTACAAATACAAAATTGAATTATGCATTAAAATGAAAACTTCGGAATTTGATTTATTTTATTTTTCAATCTATTTATATCAAAAGAATATATGATAGATTGTATTTTGATAGTGATAATTGTGATAATGAAATTCCTAAAAATAAACTAGAATGAAAACGAATGAATCTTTTACCTAAAATGGAATTTTGACTAGTTTCACGGGAGATTAACATTTTCTTATTTTGTCTAAAAATTTTTAAATAATTTCTAAATGATAATTTTTAAATGTAATTTTTTAAATAAAAATTTTTAAGCAAATTAAGAAAACGTAATTTTATGTTAGAAAACGTAATCTTGTGTAAATTAAGAAAACGTAATCTTATGTAAATTAAGAAAATGTAATGTAAAACGTAATCTTATGCAAGAAAACGTATTCTTATGTAAATTAAGAAAACGTAATCTTATGTAAAATGTAATCTTATGCAAGAAAACGTATTCTTATGTAAAACATAATACAACGTAATCTTATGTAAAATCTTATGTAAAATTAAGAAAACGTAATCTTAATCAAATTGATAAATCATAAATATACGCTATGTTATAGAATGGAAGGTAGACAAAACGAAAATATCGTAACTATACGTTTTATATAAGTATTTTAGAGGATTAAATGTTAATATCATTTATACCTTATTGTATTTTCCCTTTTTTCCGTTATACCTTTACGTAATTTCTCCTACCTTTTCCATTTTTATAAACGTACCTTTTTTCTTTTCTTTTCATTTCAGTTATACATAATTACTAAATTTTATATATACGCAAATAATATGTGTAGCATAGCTAAATAAAATAAGGGAAGAAGAAAATCAGGTGAAATATTCATTTCAAAATTAATTTAAAACGAAAAGATATATAGAGCTATTAATCAATTCTTTTATAACTAATAGGAGCTATAATCATGATTTTATATTGATGAAAAAAGAAATAGAAAACAAAAGTGTTAATTAAAATGTTTTGAATAAATTTTATTTAAATAATTAATTAATTTTAGATGGAAAAATTCATCTGCTAATTCATTCCCATACTTCTTTTATAACATTTTGTTTACACAAATATATCTATATAAATAGGAATGAAAGAAGTAAATGAATAAAAATCATTGAATGATTGAGAAATGAATTGAATTAAGTTAGGAAATCTTAGATCGATAATTATATTATCGATTTTATTATTGATCATATATTTCCTAACTTATCAATTCGATAAATTAATGAATTCATTTAATTGCAAGAAGAAAAATTAATTTTTGTTAATTCTTTAAAAAGAAACAAAAGAAAGAAAATTTACTTCGTTTTCTTTCCTTCTTTCAACTTATGGGAATAGAAAGATTAATTGATGGAAAAGTTAAACTTCGTTTAATCTGACTATAATATTTTTACAACATATAATTTATATGCGATATGTTTTATATGCGACATGTTTGTGTTGCGACATAATTTATATGCGATACGATAATATTCGTCTTGTTTGTTTCATTATAGTAATTCGACATAGTTATTATATCAATAATTATTATTTATTAGATATATTTTTCATAAAAAATTTAGTTGAATAATTTAATTCAATTTATTGCATAAAATATCTAATGGAAAAATGCCTTACAAGTAAAAAATAAGAGGACCATTTCTTTCTATAGTTAATATCCCTAACTTAATGAGAATCCCCATGCGAAGAATCTCTTTCCAAAACAATTTCAAAAAAATGCCTAAAGTAATTTTGGATTTCAATATAGCCTAAAGGCGTTTTTTTTTAAGTATGTAATTTTAATAATATTATTATTCATAAAATTTTATTTCTTAAATTTAATCTCAGTCAATATAATATTTTAATGATCATTCCTACTAACTTTAATTTCAACGTTTAAAAATTTTAATTTTATTTCTACGTTCGTGATTTCCTCATTTTAATAAATCTATCATACTTTTCCTCTGGAATGTTTAATTTATTTAAATGACAGTATGATTAATAATACTTAATATGCTTGAAGAGATAAACAATATGATGAAAATTGATAATATGTGTATAACTAGTAATAATTTAATGAATCGGATATAACAAGAAATGTTGGACATCTTTGTGGAAATATTTACAAATGATAAATACATATCGTTCGGAGTATTCCCTGGAATTGCTAACAAATCTATCAATTCGGAAATTCAAAGAACTCATCATAATCAGGTGTTTTGGATAAAAACAATTAAGTTGTAGTAGTAATTAGTAGATATATTACAGCAACTTATATACATCTTTTTCCTGATGAATACAATTTTTCTCGATTAGACAATTTTCTGACTTAATTAGGTTATGCTTTTTTTTAAGTCATCAAATTGTATTGTTGAGTATTAAAATGCTAAACAGTTAGGAAAGGATATATAATCTGTTCATAATGCAGGTGTTAATGTTTTTCTGGATGCAGGTGTATTATATCTAGGAAATCGAAGTTCGCATATTTTGGATACAGGTGTGTTTATATATCCTGAGTATAGGTGTATATTTGGATACAGTTATCCAAATATCATGAATACAGATGCATTCATATGTTCTAAATACAAGTTATAGTGATGATGCAGAATAATGATAAATGAAAAAGAAACATCATTTGATCTTTTCCTAAAATATACTATTAATTAGGTAAAGTCAATCAATTTTATTTTTGAAGAAAAATATTCATTCATTTGTTGATGCTAAAATTTGATAAGAGAAATCGATACTAAGTATATCTTCGAATTTTAATTGACTCTTTCAATAACATCAATGTTGGTACTTCTCTTGATTGTTACAAATGCTAATACTATTTATTTACCTGTAGGATGATAATAATACTAATATCAGATGAATAGTTTTTTATTCCTGGATGGTATTCACTATGAAATTTTATTTTCTATCGAATGAAGAATATCAG